AGTGCCTATTGGCAACTCTAAATAAGAGTAAAAAAAAATAATACCTTGTGCTGTTGATAAATTTGGTTGGCCAAAAAAAGGAGATTCAGCCCAGAGATTGCCTTCCCATAATTCTTCACATGATTTCGAAAAAATGCCAGGTTCAAAATATAATTGGGAGCTAAGGGATGGATTTTTTAATATTCGTTGAAGGTGCTCTATTAAAGAAAAGTAATAGACTTGTATAGAATCTTTAATGGTTGAAGGAGTGTTTTTAATATTTATTAGGACCATGTGACTGTAAATTTTCATTAATGGTAGCTGCTCGCGCTACTTTTTAAGACTTTGCAAATTAGTGGGTAGATGATTTACATCGAATTTAGGATGACGTAAAATTTATACTAAATCGTGATAGGCTGCAGTTGCTAAAAAAAGAAAAAAAAAAAGATAAGTAATTTTTTTAAGTTTGAATCAAATTACAATACTTACAAGTCATGTACTTGGTGACCCATATAAACATTGCAAGATTTGTAAAATTATTAAAAGGTTCAAATGAGCATTCGTAATTCCAATTAAAATCGGATTTTGTTCCATCAAATATCTTCGGTAAGTCATCTATGTTAGTTGAGATCAGTTCACTTTCATAATTTGAACAACAATCAATATCAGTATTAAATCTATTTTCATTACACATAGATATATCCTCTGAATTATCATAAATTAAATCATCAAATTCTTGACCAAGGTTCAAATCTGTATCCTGTTCAGACTGTTGATCATCACTAAAAATTTGGTCACACTGGTTAGACCATAAGTCATTATTATTATTATTACATTGTTGGTTATTATAGTTGCCATGCTGCATATTCGTATAATTCAAGCCAGTATTGCTATGATCCAAGCTATTATAAAATTTAAAATCGTCTAAAGAAATTTTCTTGGCACGCAAATGTACATCATAGGACTGTTGCGGTATACTTTTCTTAAACCTATTTCTAAGTGTGAACATGGCACCATATGTATAAAGAAGAAACTGAGACAAAAAACCAATTATAGAAACAAGGAAATTTGAGGTTTTGAAAAAAAAACCAGTACCAAGGTAAGTTCGTACATTTTCTCGTGACATAAGGAGAATTTAAATATATATAGTAAGATAGGTACAAACTAAAGATTATAGTTATTTCTACGTTACTGCCTTTTACATATTATGTTTTTCTTATACGTCGCTCCAATATCACACTTCGTAAAATTGCGTGCAAAAGTATTTGAATTTTAAATTTTTTGTTGAATTTTTTGTCGAATTTTTTGTTGAACATACAAAGAACGAAAAAAATCCTGATTTTAATACACACATTCCAATTTATATATGAAAAATCACATGACATCATTAGACTATCAAATAATTACTCTGATTATACATACGTATGCCTATGTTGTGTCTCAGATCAGGGCTTAAACATTGATTGTTTTTCCGATCATTTACTGTATCGTTTTTGATCTATCAACATATCAACAATAGCAGTAAATAGCTAATAAAATTTTCTTATTATGCCATTGTTCTTTGATTGCAATAATTATGAATCAAGAACGACTCTTGAGCTCTTATCAGATCCACACTTGCGTCAGATACATCTGATACACATAATATATATATAAATAATTTATATGTAAATAATTTTGAAATTTTATCCTTTTCGCTTAAAACTAAAATGCTACCCAAAAGATCATTAACCAGTAAGCGTTGATCTCTTTATTTTATTAATTATTGAGTTAGCTCAATTTAATTTCTTTCAATAGGCAAACCAACAACAAGAAGTATGAATAAAAAAACTACTGTTCAACAATCAGAACCAGAGGCATCTGAACCTTTAAATGATTTGCCAGCATCATCTAAAAAGCCATGAAAACCACGTCGAGCGAAAGATAAAGGTAATTAATAATTTTTTTTCTTAACATATTTCAAATAATTTCATTACTTTTTTATAATTTCTTATAATAATATTGTAATATTTTATATGATACTAATGCATTATAATAAATATTATTATATTTTTGAAAAAGAAAATGTTAACCCGAATGATGAGGAAACAACTATAAGATTGCCAGCTACTTCAAATTAACTGCAAGAAGATTTACAATCTGAACAATATGCTTATCAACAAAATCATACATCTTCTGTAGAGCCAACTTATATCGAAGATCAGCAAATTCAAAATCGAACTACATCTTCTCTTGCAGCAGCTAAATATCAACATAGAGTGCCATCGCAAATAAATATAAGATCTGGTGTTTTAAGAGTTCAATCAAATGGGCCTGAAACTGATTCTTTTTCTTAACGCCTTAGCGGTTCTGGTGAATGTATGTCTGATTATGAAGATGAACTTTCAGAAGATGAATTATCAGAGGATAAAATTTTTTCCTCACTTAACTAGTACAATTCGATCTCTTCGAATGTTCAAAATACTAATCCTTACACAACAATTCAACAGAATAGAGATTATACAACTTCAGCTCAAAACAATGAAATTTCTTTTCAAGATGAAGCACACCTTCTTCGATGGTTAGAAACACGCAAAGATCTTGTTTTACAGGCATTGCATGCAATTTGTTCGTCATCACCTATTATGTCAAACCAGGTTTGTTTTTCGATTAGGGTAACACCAACAGTATGATTTTTAATACAATACAGCAATAACAATAATGCATAATTAATAATCATCAATTGATTAATAATCATAATAACTTGTTTAAATAATTATTTTTACAATAAATAGTATCATTAATTTAGTGCAATTTTTACGTGCTATTATTATTAATATTTATATTGATATACGTATTATATATGTACCAATTAATAGTAAAGCAAAAGTTAATTTCAAATTTTGCTAAAAATTGAATTGTTATTTATAAAATTTTTATACAATAAATAGGTCCCCAGAATGATACGCCTAACGTAGCGAAAATACTCTCAGAACAATCACGAATCTTATTTCTGCGAACTCGAATGCCTACAAAAAGAACCCGTGCTTCACTAATTAACTGCATTATTCCCAATATAGCTAGAACGCACTCTAATTAGAGTAAAATTTCAAATAAATTGTGACAAGCATTCGAAAATTTTCGCACCACGTTTAATAATGATATGGCCAAATTGGCCAATCAGTTAATTTGAAAAAAAAGGTTTTAGACTTTTATACTTAATTCAATATAGTATTTAATAACAATAAATATTAATTACATTAAAATTAAATTATAGTAATTCTTCAGACCATGATATTGAAAGGTTCGTCACTGAAACTGTATAAAAAAAGCCTCTTAAAAAACATATCGATGTACTCGATTATGATACTTTCAAAAATCGTCAACTAGAAGTAAATTTATTGGAAACTTTCATTGCCAAAAGTCTCAAAATACATGTAGAATTCTTGAAAGCAGAATCGAGAGGAGAAGACCTTGATTATAACTCTATAGTTCTAAATCGTATTAAGGAATTAGATTATATTACTATTGGTTTCAAGTTTTCGGCCACAAGTAATCTTCAATACGCCAATCAACTGGAACTTAAAGAAGAACGAGAAAAATCAAAAAATAAAAGGCATTAGTTGTACTAATGGGAATAAAGCTAGTTAAATATATATATATATAATATACTATATATATATATATATATATATATAATAATAATAATACTAATGTATTGCGCATATTAAAATTTCATTTATATAATAACAATAGAGATAGGATAGCATGGTTGTTACTGTATTTACGATTATTAGAAATAAATACAAAATTCATTAAGCTAGTCAAAAGTGTTGACATGTGAATATTTACATATAAGATGTATATTGTTTAGCGAGGGCGTGTAAGTCATTTTATGCCAGAAAATTCACATGACAATTAAAAGCAGATGTCTTTATCCAAAGAAAAATAAAACCGATTTGGCAAGTATGAAAGTTTTATTGATTCCATACTACTGTAGAATCAAACCAGAAAAAAAAAGAATTTATTTTAGGCGACTGATATTTTCACACCTGTGTAGATCACTTTTTTTTAAAACGTTAATTGAAGGTATCTCGATGATCACCTGATCAAATACAATGATTTTTTTTTTTAGAATTCTACAAGTATGAAGAATTCAAATAAAAAAAAAATCATCGAATTTGGTCAGATGGTTATCAAGATACCTTCAATTAAAGTTAGAGAAAATTTTGCCGTGGCTATTATTTTGATAGATGGTTGGATTTTTTTTAAAAAAAAACTTTGACCAAAGATATCTTGACGACCCACTGACCAAATACAATGAATTTTTTATTTGAATTCTGCATACTTGTAGAATTCTAATAAAAAAAAATTCATTGTATTTGATCAGGTGATCGTCAAGATATCTTTGGTCAAAGCTTTTTTTTAAAAAAATCCAACCGTTTATCAAAATAATAGCCATGGCAAAATTTTCTCTAACTTTGATTAAAGGTATCTCGATAACTACCTGACCAAATCTGATGAATTTTTTTTTTTATTTGAATTCTGCATACTTTTAGAATTCTAATAAAAAAAAAAAATTCATTGCATTTGATCGGTTGTTGTCGATTAAAGTTTTAAAAAAAAGTGGGTGTGGAAATAAAAAAGGCTGTGGAAATATCAATCACCTTATTTTATTAACATATTGTATTTAAACTCAAAAGCTGTTAGTGTCTTTACAATAATTAGCTTAAAATGCTTCAACGAAATGGAACCTGCCAAAGGTAGCATTTACTGGTGAAGATGCTGCATTCATAAAATGTATAAATTAATAGAATTATACAATTAATTGGCTTATAGATGGGGCTTCCTACTGCTAGCAAAAATTAGATGTGAAACGAAAATAAGCATTGTTTGAATTAGTTCTTTCAATAATCGCCTATTGTACAATCATTATGTATCAAAATTCAGTATTATAGGCAAAGTCAAAATAAATATCATATGTTGGTGTAAAATCCTTAGTTTTGGGGTCGTCTTTGCTGAAAAATTATTAAATTTAGATGAATAAAAAACGGAAAAATAGTAATCATTATAGTTTGATTAAAGATTAAAAGATAAATTGTATTTATTATATTCATATATTGATTATTTGCTTTAAAAGCTTCGAGCATTAAAAAATAAAGTAGCCATTTTTTTTATGTTAGATAGAAATTTGTTGAGTATTCATTGTTTATTTTGTAAAAAAATGTGAAAGTAATACTTAAGCGATCTTTATTAATATTAAATTTTCGAAGAAAAAAAAATGGTTTGTAGCTCACCAATCTGTTTATCGGAATGGTGCTTACTTTGATTAATTTATTTAATTTTCAACTATTAAAAATTGCTTTCAATCTATTGCGTGAGGTGCTTGAGAAACCTATAGTCTAAACTTTATATGCCAAAATATTGCGCTGATATATTAACATTTTATTACAAT